GCGAATGAATGGAGAGAAAGGAATGGTAGAGGCCATTTGAATACACGAACCAATGGGAATGCCATCCCCTTCTCAACCTCCGAGGGCCATAAAAAGTCCTCAACCCCCCGAAGCGGGTGATGGCAAACCAGTGAGAAGATGCCAAAAGAAAAAGATAGGGAAGAACATGGGTTCTTTTTCAGGTTATCTTTGATTTCTTACCAATTCAACAAATTGGCGTTTTTGGGATGTAAATTTACATCGACAGACAGGAATTTAAAGCCCTCTAGAGTGTATTGATTCTTTACAGTTGAAGCTTGGTTAAAAACTCAATTCAACAAGGTTTGTTTGAGCTCAAAATGCATCGAAAAATGGTGAGAAGGAAAAACTTATTCGTTAACCTATTCAAATTAAAACCATTTTTAAGCCTGATCGTTAGATTTTCAGGCGTCAAAAATAAGCCTTAAAACTTGTTACTTGATACTATCCCAAAAACTTCAGAACATGGGATATTGTCATTATCATTTCCGTAATCTTCGAACAACCGTATAATTTTTAGATGTAGCTGAGAAAAACTATCGAAAATGATGCATGGAATCCTGTAAAACGCATAGAATTGTTAGAAAATGCTAAGAACGGCATCATCCAAGCGTCAGGAGAATTCGGGATTTCGGATCGTTGACCAGCCGGCCTTGAACCGGCCCTGGTCTACAATACCCGCCACAACCACGCCATACTTGAGCCGACAAAAGAAAGAAGAGGGAGAAGGAAAAGGAAGAGAAGTCGAACACACACCAAGGGGCCACTTCCAGTCGGCTGGAATGGGGGTATCGTTTGGTAGTGTTTACGGTATGAGTGAGAGAAAGTTATTAAGGGTATGAAATCGCTAAAATTCAACAACGTCCCGGATAAATTTTTACTTCAAAGTTCGAGAGAGAGAGCGCGAGAGCGAAAAGAGCGAGTGAAAGAGCGAGAGAAAGATAACGAGAGCGAGCGAGAGGGATGGCGAGAGAGAACAAAAGAGTGCGAGAGAGAGCGAAAGTGAGCGAGAGTGAGAGAGCCAGAGAAAGAGAAAGAGCGTTTGTAGATAAATAACATTGTTTTAAAGGGACGGTAACAGGACGGTATAGAAGGACGAATTTTTAGTAATTTTAGCGGTTTTAGAAAGCTGGAGGGAGAGAGAGCCAGAAGAGAGAGGAGAGAGAGAGAGAGAGAGAGTTGAGATAGATATAGAGAGAAAGAGAGAGCGAGGAGAGAGAGAGAGAGAGATAGAGAGAGAGAGTGAGAGAGAGAGAGAGCGAAAGAGTGCCAGAGAGCGAGCGAGACAGTTGGAGCGAGATAGTAAACAAGGTTTTTTATCCGCCAAAACACCTAAATTACGCTCCAAAGCTACGAAAAGTTCCAAATTCCACTTCTTCCCAAAACCTTAACCCGCTACCCATGCTAATCGCTGCGCTAAGGGCCCCCCTGAGGCTACAAACCCGTGTGTGTTTGGCCTTTGAGGGCGACTGCTGGAGGGGATCGTTCCGAAAAGGTGCTATTTGCAATCTCTTCTGGGGCTAGAGGAATGGTGGGGGGAGGACCGAAGGGGAAAGGAGGGCAGTTCAGATCAATCGAGCACAGCGCAAACAGAAGACCCACCCAGCAGCAGCATCGGGTCGACGTCCCCCACCACCATCACCATCACCAACATCTACCCAGACACACATGATCACACTAAAGTCAGCGGATAAGGGGTGATACCTAGTGAGGGGTATTTGCTAGTTTGCCCTCTAGGCATCGTCGTTCTGATTGTGGATTCCCAAAGAACCTTTGCTAACTAGCCCCTCTAACAGTAAGTGTCTCGCCTTCCTAGGCTTTCTCAAGCTTCAACTGTCCACAAAAAAGGCACGCAAGTTTTGCGAGATAGCATTCCAGTCCCTGCAACCCGTGTGTTGCACGATTAGCGTACCCTCTAGGTGTGACCTTCCGAAGCTTATTCCTAAACCGTTGCCAAACGCCCCCCTCCATGACCAAACCACATGATTCCAAAACTCTCGCGAAAAACGTTAATTTGACTAAAATTTAGTTAATGTTTACGAAAGCTTTGCTAGCTGCCCCCTTAAGTCGCAATCGTTGGCGACTAAAATGTTAATCGCTAAAAATACTGCTAGCTTGCCTGCATGGCGCTACGGTGCAGAAGGGCTTGCATGCCCCAATAATATTTGCTAGCTCGCCCTTCCATTTCCCAAAATATTTAGTAACGGTGAGCTTGGAGAGAAAAGAGAAAAAGTCACAGTAGCTAAGGCCGACCGCAAAAATACTATCGAAACAAGATGTCCAGGAGCCTCCGAGCAAATTCCTGACTGCAGCTTCTAGCGTCTAGATGGGGCAAGGAAGGGAAGGTTCTGTGCAAACTTGTAACTACACTCACTCGCGGATTTTGAGAGCTTTAGAGGATGCCTGTGGGTGGTCGATCAGAGAGAAAAAGAAAGAAAGATTTCTCCCTCTGATCAGAAAAGCGCATCGCGAAGGAAGAAGCTACTGAAAATGAGAATGAACTCATCATTACCGCCTTTTTAGCTTCTAAAAACATTAGACAGCTCAAAAACGCAAGCACTATTTTTGTAAAACATCAAAACGTTCAAATTCTCGAAAATAAATAGATACTTGAAGCTATAGAAATCCATAGAAACTGCAAGACAATAGGCGTCAGCTTCGGATAATAAAAGACCACGCGAGGACCTCTGACTAACACCAAAAACTATGTCAAGAATTCAGGTATCCGCCCCATCTTGACAAATCTTCTAGGAATTTTGATGGCTTTTGATGGTATCCCCACAAAAATTGGAGAGTCTCGTGTAGCGTGTGTTCGTCTGACTGGCTGGCTGGCTGGCAAGACGTTGAGTGTGATTCAGTTGTCGGGTAAATAAAGGGAGGATTAGACATTTGCAAAGGGCGGGCGGGGGAGTCTTGCAACAACGTAAGTGGACGCGGGTGTCGAATTTCAAAACAAATTATGGATCGAGTGGTGAGAAGAAAGGGGAGCGATTATGACGTGAAGCCAAAACACAATTTGGAACAAATTGGAACAATAGAAACTAAATCTGCCTAACTACTTCACTCAAGAAAACGCTTAATTCAAGGAAAGTCAGAAAATTCAAGAATTTCCCTTCAGCTAAGCGTTTGAGTTTTACAACTCTAAAACCATCGATAGAATTTATGCGATTAAATCATATCCTTTTTGTTTGTCGTCAACGAAAATGAGGTGCGGCGCCAAGTTTACTTAAACTCTAGATGTCAGAAGCATGCACGCCGATTTCAGCGATTGTAAAAAATATATTTTTGTCCGGAATGGTGGAAAGTAGGTTAGGAAGAATAAAGGGTATCGTTGGGGCCAAAAATAATTCGGTTTCCTAGCAGAAGTTTTGGGAAACAGTTTGAAAACAGTTGTTCTAAATGAAATAGGACAAAATTCAGAGAGATGCTCGCATTCAGCGACTTCTTCCGATTTCATATATATGTTGAATAGACCTATTACCTAAAACAGCACTGAATCAGAGTGCAAAGCTGAAATCAAACGAGTTTTTGTATTAGCATCTTTTCTTTCTTCTAGCATCAAAATTTTGTGAAAATGGCGAATTAGAAAAGTTTTTTTGAGTTCTCTTTTTCCCTTCACGATAATAAATCGTTGTAAAAACTAAAAAAATTATATTTATGACCCTATGCTTCTAAAAGAATTCAAAAACGTTTGAAGACACGGTTGACATCACCTAAGAACCTCTCAACTAGGCAGATACCAGATACCAGCAGAAGCAAAGCAGATATTACCTAAATCCAAGAAAGTCGGAAAAAATCAGGAAAATTCGCCCTACCACCAGACAACCCGTAGACCAAGAACAATGCCGAATGCGAACACCCCAAGCCAACCACTCCCATTACGTGCCTTCTAACACCCCGCACAAAAAGCGTCGCAAAGTAGAGATAGACGCGTGTCCGGGGCTGCGCGCACCATGGTCGGCCCAGCAAAAAAAAAATTTGGCGCGGCGCTGGTGGCCGCGCCGATTTCCTCGTGACAGGGGCACAAACACCCGAAGAGACGGACAGACAGACAGAGTGGGGTAGTGGGTCCAATGGGAGCTGCTGCTGCTTGGGACCCAGGTAGAGGACCGGTTGTGGCCTAGGCTTGGGTGGACTAGTTTTGGAGTAGACAGGGTCGGGGTGGGGCCCAGGTAAGTACGCGGTAGGAGTTGGGAGGTGAATAGTAAAGTAATATGAGCTTTTGTCCAGCAGAAAGGCAATGCGAGAGAGCGAGAGAGAGCGAAGGAGAGCGAGAGAGGGAGAGATACCGGGAAAAGTGAGGCCCGATTAGAGCACCAATTGACCGGGCATCAAGAGGAGTTTTCGCACCGAGTTTGGCCCAGAATTCGGCCTTTCCAGCCTGGGCCTTGACTTCGCATTGGTGCATTAATGGTACGATCCTTGTCAATTGGTCCAAGAAATCAGCTGGGCTCTGATTTCATACGCATGAACAAAAAATGATATTGTTTTCGCAGTCATGCACAACCAATGGATAAAACTAAATTTACACCTTTTCTCGTTTCGGCACCTCCAAAACTTATGGAATACCGCGTTTCAGATCCTGAAGTTATGAGTCTGTGGTATGTTTTCAAAATTTCTGTTAGTTGTAATTCCCAATTTATGCAACAGACAAGTCGAATAAAGGCATGGGCGGCGACTAGAGATCGACAAGAACAAGAGCTATGTTTTGCGTGGGGAAGCGGATAACAAGGCCGAACCGGCAAATCACATGGGTGTTAGAGGGTATTTGGAAGGGGTGCGGCTACTCGTAAGAAATACCTAAACTTGGACCTAAAAACGGGGAATATAACGGTAGGAAAGACGACGGGGAGGTACTGTAAATGTGATAAAATAGATCAAACAAAGGCAAAGACAAAAATGGAAAATCGAAAAATATTTTAAAGGAGCCATGAAGCCAGGAGTTTCAAAAAAAGTGACACAGTAGTATAAAAATTTTCTCATTCCTTCAAGTTCTTCCTGCTGTCGCTGCCTTTCAGCGCCTTCTTCTGCGCAATTTCTGCGAGTTTATCGGAATGAGCGGCGGCATCTAAATCGATTGCGGTAAGTGGTATGAATTCTTAGGTATTTTAGACCTGATGCAAATGAGCGGACGATGACTGGCAAAATCAGGAGACCATGGAATAGTCCTGTAGCCACCACAAGCACTGAAGTTCTGGCAAACATCCGGACGGCGTTGGAAGGTACTCGGATCATGACGAGAATAGCTGGAAATCGGATTTTTACGGGCTTTTTTAAAGATTTAGCTTTCCTGTTTAGGGGAGTTAGCAAAGACCAGTGAGGAATTGGAGAATTATCGTATCTTCTGCTTACCTAGTAACGTCGCTAGCCCGCCTTGCAAAACTGGCCATCCAATCGCTCCTAAAGAATCCTTGATCCGCTCTGTTGGATCCTTTTTCTCAGATCTGTAGATACGGTAGCCGACATGAGTGGCAAAATCAATGCATTGGCCAATCGACATCTAAAACTATTGCTATAAGAGAGAGAGAGAGAGAGAGAGAGAGGGAGAGGACGCGAAAGAGAGAGCCGTCGTGAGCTTACCAAAATGTTCACAACAGTGGTTGGCTCCAGATCAGCACCCCATAACGATAAAAATCCGGCTGTGCCGATGTCCATCGAAATGAGCGTAAAAACGACCCAGAAAACGATCGATGATTCGGCGACAAATAGTACGCAGACGGTAATTAGCGTTAGAATCGCCGTTCCCAAGGATTGTAAAGTTGTGGTCTGTAGTTCCAACATTTGGTCGCTGTAGAAGTTGTTCTCATCAAAGACGATAGCGTCGTAGTCGGGGTATCTGGAAAAAAAACGATTAGCAAGGACAAGAGAGCGAGAGAGTGAGAGAGAGTCAAAGAGAGAGAGAGTGAGGGAGGGAAGGAGAGAGAGCGAAAGAGAGTGAGAGAGACTCACTTTGCGGTAATATTCCTCCACCATAATAACAATTCGGTCCGAACGTTCCACCCTTGAATGGCAAAAGCCGTGGTAAAGTAGAATTTGTTAACGTATTCGTCGTTTGTCTGAAATTTGATGATTTTGCGTCTTTTCAAGGTAATAAAAGCCATAAAATAAACAAAATTTTCACTGACCTTATTCGATCGCGGCGCCCATCTCAAATTCGACGCCCAATGGGTGTTGAAAGACACATGAGTGAACGACTTCAGCGTCTCGTAAAAATGAGCATCGTCTTCGGCAAAGAATTGGCTAAAATAATGGACGCCTACCATGGAAAAGAGTGCCTCACCGATATTCATTAAAATCTCGCAACCAGAGCCTCGTCGAATTCGGGCCCATCGAATATGGTGTATTTTCGAGTTCGGAGACGAATTTGAGCATTCTTTCTATCTGAAAAAGAAACATTATATGAGTTCTCGTGCGTTAATAAATGTAAACGTTATTATAAATGCTTGTTAGCATAATCATAGCGAACCTGAAGAGAAACCTAAAAAAATGGTTAAGCTGAGTACCAAAAATCGATAATTCTGAATTTTATGCTTTTTTCTTTATCGATGTTATTCTTAGGACTTTCAGATTTTTTTGTTATTGTTTTTGAGTTTAAATTTTTACGACTATTAATTAAAACCAACACGAAACACATTCGTAAGTGGTGGAAATCAAGGACTTGCAGAATTACCGTTGAATTAGCTAGATTCTTTCAAACAGTTGTGTTTATTTCTTGTTTTCTGAAATGTGAACTATTTAGCATTAATCCCCATCAAATAAATAGGTAAAAAAACCGCTATCTAACTTTAAAATTGAGGGTTGCGTATTAAAGGGTATTCTCTTACTGATATTTTCTTAACCAAGTGCCCTGGTTTGGCTGGCTCATTACAGTAAGCCTCTGGGCAAGATATTTTAGGGGACACTGAGGTAAGGTACTATTGTTTTACTAACAAACCCCCCTCTAACGCTCTGCTCCCTCTGTGCCCCCGAAACGCGCCTTGCCTGGCCCACTCCCCCGGCCCACCCTATATAAGACGGAAGGGCCATTCGCCTCCTCGCCGGCGCGCCCTTTAGACTAAATTTGATCGCCTTTGTCCGCTGAATCTTTAGTCTTGATTGGCGTCCCACGGAGCCTCGTTAACCGTTCGAGACGGCGAGCCGCCCGTAGGTCAGATGCTTGCCTCGAAATTCGGTCGAATTGACCACGTAGTTCCAAAATTCTGCTCGCGCCGGCAATTCCATAGCCCTCGTCCTCTTTGGCCAGGAAACGATACCTTTTGCCGTTCATCCTATGAATTTTTTTCGCTAGGTAACGTGCTTATATAAATTTTCAATGAATCATATATAAATCGGTGAAAGCGTCAATGTAAAGGTAAAGTTAATGTAATGTAAGGGCAACAACGAAAGGATACTGGATGGCTTTTTCGGGTCTTAAAGGACCTCACGACTTCAGATTGTCGTTTTATAGCGATACCTAACGTATTTGACTCTTCGATTTGCGTTTTATAGTGTTTATGGCTAGATCGCGCACTTTTTCTTATCATCCTCGCTGTTTTTACAGTTTTGAGAGTGAGGCGAGAAAACCCTAGGCGGTTTTCACTTCTTTTAATAGATGTTCAACCATGTTACTACATTTTATTATATCCTTGATCTGTTTATGAATGGTTTCTTATCACATGTTACTCTTACTCTTTTTTTTACGTTACTTAACCGATTTACATTCGTTTTAGCTTGACTACCTCCCTCTGGTTTGTGTTACCATCCCTACCTCTTCAGGATGCTTTGAAAGTCGGAGCATTGTTGACGTAGACAGGCCAGTCAGTCCCTCGGCCCAGATGTGGTTCTCAGCGAGGTGTAGGTAATGGATTAGGAGGCGAGTCATCAACCACCAGTCTAAGAATTTAGGTAAGTTTTGTTGAGTTTTTGTTCTCCAACCTGCTGGAGTGTCAAATTAGGTTGTCAGCGGGAGCAACCGTCAATAGCGGTGGCTATGTAGACGCCGTAGATGCGGATCTGAAGTTATTCAGGTTTATTAAACGATTTTTACTGCATCAATTCCTGAGAAAATCTTTCAAATCGGATGTGATGACTCACCAAAACCATCCCTCGTGCTCGGCTTGCACAAAAATGGGGCCAGCTTGTTCTCGAAGAGGTATCGCGTTGGGGATATAGCATCTGGTTGTTTTTAGCCTGAAGCGGAGGTATGTTGTTAAATTTTCAAAGCGAGTTAACCTACTTTCTCAATCTCCTCCTTTGGCATTCGCTTCCACACGAAAACCGAGTGATTCTCAGCAGCTTCACGACAGCCGCCGAGAACCACCACACCGGCAAAGAAGGTTAGCTAGGAAGCATATTTTAGCCATCATCAATTGAATTCATTTAAATTATGTGTCAAAATAGATAAACAGAAGAACAGAGAAAATTTGATACGCCCTAGCTCACCTGGCAGACCGTCGAAAAACAGGGCCAGCGCGATGAATTTGCAGAAAATTGCGAATAGCCGGTGTGCTGCTCTGGCGTTTCCAATACCAAATGGCCAGCACCGAAGTAAGCGTGGTGACCGAGATTGGCGCTAAAAGTCGCTATTATTTCTTTTTCGTCTTTATCCCGTTCGAAGGGAGAAATTACTTACCACCCAGCTTCTTCCAACGTCAACGCCATTCGTTTTTCGGGTGATAAAGTTCTTCTAGTGTCTTGCCAAGCCCCTAGCATTACGGAAAGGTATCATCCACTCCAATTGCATAGGGCCAGAGAAAGGGCATGACAGTCACCTGAAAAAAATCAATTTTTTTTTTTTTCGGTAATAAGTTTCCTCAAAAAACCAAGCTACCCTACCCATCAATATAGCTAAGAAATCTGGTCTTTTCAGGGTGATTTACGCTTTTTTGGTGAGTGTTCATGAAAACCGATAGATACAAACCTAATTCCAAAAGTTACCTGATGCACAAACGGCGTCCCGATCGCAAACAAAATTCCGGCCGCGCTCATGATGGCCAGGGTAGAGGTGAAAACACCGACAACAGCCTCAATGGGTTTCGAGGTGATCCAATCGCCAGTCATGCTTTAAATTTAGGAATAATATTGCTATTGTTATAATTACTTTTTCCCTTTCCGTGTTTTGTTCCTCTGTTTTTTTATGTTGCTGTGGACACGGCCTTGTTTTCCCCTTTGGACCGGTGGAGAATCCCTTTCCCCTGATAGACCCCCTCCCAGGGCCGCCTCTCGTGGTCTTGTGGTGTGTTGGATTATCACGTCTGCTTCACACGCAGAAGGTCGCCGGTTCGATCCCGGCCAAGACCTACCTTTTTGCTTTTTGGCTCATTGCTAGGAGCCGCTACCGGGCAACACATCGCAATGCGCAGAAGTTTTTTTACTTTTCGGAATGTTAATTTTCCGTTAGTTAAAGCCAGCTCATACCAGCAAGCCTTTTTCACCTTACCATGATCCCACAGAGAAGGTGATGAGCAGGAGAAACTGATCCAGAGGAATGTAGGGGATCGTGAAGGTGGCATTTTTGTGCATCTCTTCCTTCAGAATTGAGAGCGAGAACATGGCCGTCTTAAATACCGTGTTTTTGATGCTTTATAGGATCCTTACCTCCAAAGTTGGAAGGTGTTTTTCCAGACCGGCTCGAATGGCATCAACCACTGCCGCACAGACATCATCAGATAAGGTCTAGAAAAGAGAAATATAGAGAGAGAGAGAAAGGGAGAGAGAGCGAGAGAGAGAGAGAGAGAGAGAGAGAGAGAGAGAGAGA